GCGCACTTGGCGACGTTGAAGCGCAGGCCCATCCATCTGGCTGCCTCGGACGCCACGTCCAGCATCTGCTGCAGCTGGGCAGCATCGGGGGCCAGGAGGACCAGGTCGTCGGTGTAGGCCAGGACGCTCAGCTTCTGGCCGTACAGGTCGAGCCTGCCGGGGCCGCCCGCCACAGCTCGGAGGAGCAGTTCCATGGCCAGATTGAAGATGATGGGGCTGAGGGGACAGCCCTGCCTCACCCCCGACCGGATGGGGATCTCCGCGGTCTCTCTGTCGGTGGCGCGGACGGTCGTGGTGCATCCAAGGTAGAGCTCTTGCACCAGGCAAGAGCTACATTTACTCAAAGATCCGTGTGTGTGTATTTCTATGCGGGGGGTTTGGTTTGAGGGTTTGTGGATGGTGACAGTCTAAAACCACTGCTGGTGCCGGGCCCAGGGGCACTGTGGGCAGCGCCACTCAGGGGTGACCGCAGCCTTTTGCAGCAGGGCTATGGCAGGACTTCGTCCGGGAGTGAAGGACAGGGCAGAGGGACCTGGCAGGAGAGAAAAGGAGCTCCCCTCTCCCTGCCTGGGTGCGAACCTGTCCCCATCGCCCTGGCTGCAGAGCCCGGCTGTAACTGCAGTTATGGAGACCGAGTGCCCAGGCAGGAGCTCTGCAGAAAAGGACCTGGGGGTTACAGTGGACGATAAGCTGATTAGCTGAATATGAGCCAAGAAGGCTAACAGCATGCTGGGCTGCATTAGTAGTCACGTTGCCAGCAAATCAAAGGAAGCAATCATTCCCTGCTGTTCAGCCCTGGTGAGGCCACATCTGGAGTCCTGTGTCCAGTTTTGGGCCCTGCGCTTTAGAAAGGATTCAGACAAATTGGAGAGAGCCCAGCAGAGGGCAGCAAAAATAACTGGGGGGCTGGAGCACATCACTTCTGAGGATAAGGGGAAGGAATTGGGTTTATTTAGAGAAGAGAAGACTGAAGGTGGGTTTAATAGCAGCCTTCAACTACCTGAAGGGGGGTTTC